CGAGAGTATTATCTCTGAGTGAAACCAAGAAAGCAACAGAATTACCTTTGAATTAAGTCCATGAAATATTTAAATTGATAGACGGGAGACTTTTGCTTGTAAAACAAAAATTTAATTTTCAATGTAATTCTAAGCCTAAATACTTTATGGTATCGATGGGACAGCCTCGTGAATGTTTTAAATGGTTAACTGTCTATTTAAGCAAAAAAATAGTTGTGCTTACTGAATGGATCGAACCCCAAATTTCAGCGTTATAAGCTCTCAGGCTCACCGCTAAGCCACCAGGAGGGGTGCATGTCATATAATAATTAATTACTTCTTATAAATGGGTATGGAATCCTTACACTGTACGTAGTAGGTTTGAATTTCGTGCAAAGTTACACGAGGGCTATCTGCGCCACCCCTCCCTACTTTAGCAGTGAAAGACTAGAGGGAAGGCATTAGTCATCACCACTCACCGCCAACTCTTGGGCTACTCTTTTACCAACGAATAGTGGAATTAATCGTCACATAATAACGCCCCCCACCGCTGAAAGGACGAGCATGTTTAGTGGGAGTGGGATTCGAACCCGAGACCCTCAGATTGCGAACCAAGCGGCCTAACCACCTGGACATGCCGGGCCACATAGTTGGTAGTAGTACTATTAGTACTGAAGAGTCGATCAGAGGATCGTTGAATTAGTGTTGTTTTTTTTTTAATATAGTAATGAAAATTTTGAAGACTAGATTTGTTATCGGAAAAAATAAATAAAAATGCGAGTATAAACAAAGCCATAGAAGATTAGTTAACCATAGGAATACGTAAGTCATATAAAAAATATAGAATAATAATACATATACGGTAGAACTGGATTAAGTAAAAAAGATAGATAATATACGTGCTTTTTCTCCTCTCTCTCTTTCAATCTGGCGAAGGTGTGAGGCATCACATTTATTTCCAATTAAAACTTTTGCGACATCTGGTGAGGCATTCTAGGTGAAACAAAAAAAGAAGGATTGTAAATTATTCAAATAATTAAAACTTACTGTTATTTATCCAGTATAGAGATTATTTGGTTTTGGGTATGTATTATAATAAGTTCATTTATTGTTTTAATAATTCCAAGGGTTTTGATGCTTTATTCTAATATTTGTAGCGATAATTAAATTATTATCATTTTCTCGATAAACGCTATTTTGTTAATCTTACAAACAAAACACAATGTGATAACTATAACTATAACCATAAATTTGCTGTCTAGACTTATTAATTATAGAATTGAAAACGTATGATAACGAGAGTAAAAAAAAAATAAAACATACCTCTTCAACATTACGGAACCAATAAGAAAGGTGATTAAAGGAATCCATATTTGTGACGTCATACATTAGTATAATGCCCTAAAAAAAAAAAAGAAGAAGCAACAGGAGTCACGTGTTGCCACGAGATACGTTATTAATACGTAAGTCAGTTGTTCGATGTTTTTAAAAAGAAAACACGAACAATTACTATAAGACGTGATACGAATTCATATCGGAATACGAAAAAAGGCTTATTAATTATGAAAATTCATAACAGTGAACCAAAAAAAAAGTAACTGTTATATTTTTATTTCACAGTCATATTTCAATTAGTTAAGTACAAACTGTATTTGTTTTTTTAAATATGTTAAAAAAATATTCTTTGAAATGTTCAGAAGTTTATTAAGCATTAACTTTATTATCAACGAATATTTGAGCAAATTATCTAACGGTAAGATACTCCTATGTTTGTTTGGGACACGTAATAAAAAATAATAATATAATGAATAATTAATAGAAACATTTGTAGATTAGAAACTCTATTGTAACACCAAAAACAGAAAACAAACAAACTTCAAAATATTTTTTTTTACATTACGATCCACATATTGTTAGAGGTGTAAAATTTGCAAGTTCTATTAAAAACGTCTAAACTTCGTGCCATGTGCGCTGAGTGAACACAGTATTAGAGATTCATACATAATGTGTTGTGCAAGTTCTATTTAAAACGTCTAAACTTTGTTCTAAGTTAACTTCGTGCCATGTGCGCTGAGTGAACACAGTATTAGAGATTCATACATAATGTGTTGTGCAAGTTCTATTTAAAACGTCTAAACTTTGTTCTAAGTTAACTTCGTGCCATGTGCGCTGAGTGAACACAGTATTAGAGATTCATACATAATGTGTGTTAAAGTGAAACACATTTGTTGTGTTTCTTTACATAATGATACATGTATATATAATGTTAGATTCACAAAAAAAATCATGAAACAATCTTATCCGAATTTCATTAGCACTTTCATAAGTATTAGATACCTTCTGGAATTTGGTTTGGCTCTTGGCCTGGTGATTGGGACAATCGAGTTGGTCGCGGGCTAGAATCCCGTAACCAAACATGCTCGCCCTTTCAGCCATGGGGGTATTATCATGTCCCGGTCAATCCCATTATTTGTTGATAAAAGAATATCCCAAGAGCTGGCGGTGGATGGGGTTACGTTTGTTACCTTCCCTCTAGTCCGCCATTTCAAAATTAGGGACGGCTAACCCTTGAGTAGCTTTTCGCGAAATTAAACACACAAACGAACCTTCTGGACTTTGCTTTTTCGTTTGGTATTTAGGATTATCAAAACTTTCTAATTTACTTTTTATGTAATAAGCAGGACAAGCATATAGTTTTACAGATATTTGAAAGTGTTACATCAGATCTATGATTGTTTGTTTTGAATTTCGCGCAAAGCTACACGAGGGCTATCTGCGCTAGCCGTCCCTAATTTAGCAGTATAAGACTAGAGGGAAGGCAGCTAGTCATCACCACTCACCGCCAACTCTTGGGCTACTCTTTTACCAACTAATAGTAGGATTGAACGTCACATTATAGCGCCCCCACGGCTGAAAGGGCGAGCATGTTTGGTGTGACGGGGATTCGAACCCGCGACCCGCAGATTGCGAGTCGAGCTCCCTAACCAT